ATTTATAGCATTTGCTTACAATACCTTTTAACAAATTGCTTTACAATACGAACAATTTTTACTTAAATAGTTTTATAACGTATTTTCAACAGGATTTCAATTTATGTTTACAATTCAATATTAAGGTTATTATATATTTAGATAACATTTATAATCATTATAAATTAGGTACATTTAATCATTAGATTTCTTCACAGTTGTTTATAAGTGAATAAATTCTTCATTTCAAATACATTTATAAATAATTTAATGAACATTTAAGTATTTTGTCAAGGCAGATACTGCTTTTTGCAAGCACATGCATAAATACCCGTACATATTTCCTATTTATCATTTTCCGGCATGTGAAAATCTTTAATTTCTGTGCATTCACTATATTTTTCGTGTAAAGTAATTTACACTAATTTAGCATAACACCGAAAGTTTTACATAAAAAATATAAATGAATATAATTTGAATGAAATTATAAAGTACTTTTTTTAATACCCACTCAAAGGTCTTTTTTCTTCAAAATTCCTCCACGATGGCATCTCTCTCTTTAGGCAGATAGCCCTTGATGCGTTACTCTATTTAATAAAAACTTAATCTGACCTATGTGCCTAATTACAAATATTTTAAACTACATAATTTTATATTTACATTTAGCCATCAAGTTTCAAACTTTTCAAATCTTCTAGAAAATAAATTTTGGCAGATTTCTTTTAGCAATTTTCTTAAATCTATATTTTTGTAGTGCAACAGCTTAGAATTTTATAAAACAAATTCATAATCAAAATCGCTGTTGTTAGTTATCGAAAAATAACCAAGATGTGATTTTTGCGTAATGTCAGTAACTATACAAATTGCTATTATCCATCACACTATGAATGTTTCTTTTCATGCGAGAGTGTCCCTTTTTCAATTTCTATGGAACTGTCGTGTGTCGAAATACTATCAGAATCTTGTCAAGCGAGCTTCTGAATGTAAACAAAGAACACCCCGCCTGGTGACCCAAGCTTCAAAGCAGTGCTTCACTTCTAGCGCGGAATGGCCCCTCCTCCCTTTCCTACCTCCATGGTGGCCGCGGGGGTGGGGGTGCTAGTAGCTGTAACGTCACAACATCCAAAACTTTGGTAAGATATGAATGTTTGTGGCATGGAAGCATTTAAAACCTGCCCAACCATAAGCACTCTCAAGAGTTTAATCAAAGGGGAGGACAGATACGAGATTCACAGATTTTGTGATTTTCGAAGGATCCCTGGTCAATATTTTATTTTAATTTTTGCCTTAAAATGCAAGTGGATATCAATTTTTAATTTTAGAAAATATTTGACAGTGTTTACCAAGGTTTATGGAAATCTGTCCACAAAAGATGCAAGTTAAAAAGTATTTTTAATGCTCATATTAGGATAAATAACTGTTTATTAGAGTTATGTTTATTATAGTTGTTAGTTACTATGCATTTCTCAACATAAAATATAAAATTTTGAAACATTAATGCAGGTTAAAAAGAGCATATGAAAATAATTATTCTATTAGACTGTAAAAATCTTCATAAAAATGAAATTTCTTGTAAAAATGCTGATCAGGTAATTAAAAAATGTATGGAATTTTTAATTATTGTACAAAAATAAGGTTTATAGTTATTTATATAATTTCAATTCTGTGCAGAAATGAATCGCAGAACATGAGTTTTATTTGAACCATTCCATGAAAATTCTATAAAAGCTTACATAACTAACAGACACAAATACAGGCATTTTCACAAACTGTGTTTAATGCATTAAAGACAGGATATTCCCCCCCCCCAAGGGCTGTGCATTTTTCCGGTAGGTTCTTTATTTATTTTTCCTCAATCAGCTATAAATAAGTGTACATATCAACTTTTTTAATATTTATTTTAACCTTTCAGTGTTTGAGTTTAACACAGGATTTCACACTATGAAATAATTTGCAGTATATGCATAAAATTACCAATTTCTATGAAGTACAATTTGATGACATTATAAACTACAGTCAAGTATTCATCATAGTCTGTATTAATATACAAAAGTAATACAGTACATCAAACGCACATACATAATAAAGGGTTATTCTTGTAGTGTACATTTATTTATTCACTTTTATTCCTGTATATTTGTTTGATCTGTTCCTTTGTTGTACATTTGACCACTATTAGTATGTACTTAGCATTACATTGAGATACATAGACAGTATGCAAAAATTGTCCTTGAGCTCTTTGGTTTGATTTATTGAGGAGGCCTTATCCTTTATAGTTCCACTTATTCCATATATTGTATTTAGCACATAGCCTACACATAAAAATTTGCTAATACTTTTTTAAAGTATGGTATTGCATAAAACATTTTTATGCATGATAACGAACTATACAAAATTTAGATATGTGCCTCATTTTTCTTCTTTTTTCTTGGACAGCACAAACTCTGTCAATTGTTAAAAACTTTTTCCCCCTACAGCTTGAAAAATATACAAAAATATACAGGTTCATGTAACCCAGCTATCTTCTAGGTGGATCTCTACATGTTGCTCTTCATGCACCACTAGAGGAAGAGTTAGATATCTTTAGTTCAGGAAAGATTTCATTATCATTGTCAGTAATTGAGTATTTTGCCAACAAAAGAAAAACCTTGGTTCTTTTCTTGGTGTTCAGAGCATTATGGATTGTAAAATAATTAAGAAGTTCACATGTATGAAATAAAAGACTAGTTTTTGTCCTTTTCATTGTTTTCTTAGAACAGATTAATATAAAAAGTACTGATCCACGCGATCAACTCTTTTCATGTGGCCACTGTATAGATTTAAACACACTATATCCATTCTTGTTTTTCTGATTTTCCCCCTTTCTGTATTTGAGGCAGAAATGCCGTGAATTGTTAGTATCATTTCTACATCCTTCTTCACACTTTGACTTTCAGGCATGGCAGTAAACCTCAGTTCTCTCAAACAGTTTCCTAAGACTTTTTGTTTTTCAGTAGTAAATCAGCAATGCAGGTGCTGTTATAACTTTCCTAGTGATTATGGTGCCATATATCAGGATAAGGACCATTAACTGAAAGAAGTTTCTTTCAATTTCATCCCTTTAGCAGTGTAGATCTCTATCTTATAGTTTATGTCAATCTCACAGATGATCCCAATTTGAAACCTTAGGCATCCTGCTTTAATTTTATGATGTTCTCAATTTTTAGAAGAAAAAATACAGCAGTTGCTGAATTTTGAAGTCTCTCTCATAACTATTTTCCACTGTTATATTATAATAAAAGTGTCAGAATGTCCATATTTGCTCAAATCTGTTGCAGTGCAGAGTCTGAAAGTATAGTGGTAGCTATTAGAGAATCTGTTTATGTTTCCAGCTATCTTTTATGCCAAGGAATTTCTTTATGTCTTTTTTGTATAACAAGAGACCACTTGAGTGCTTTACATGATGTTTTATGTTTCACTGAGGTTGATCATGGTAAGTACACTACTCACTACTCAAAGAAGTCATCACCAAATATCAAGCTAGTCACAGAGGCCCACTGAGATGGAAATGTAATGACCCTAGGATGACCTTCAGTCATTAGTAAGCACAATGAAATATCAATTTCAGACCACTAATTCAGACACCTTCATTGTTATTATTATTCATTGTCATTATTCATAAAACAGAATCACCTTCATTGTTAGTGTCAGAATCACTTGAAAGCACTGCTATCTGTGCTTCTTTTTAATTCTCATAATGTTGCTGTCACTAGAATCATCCTCACAGCCATCAAAATATCCACTTACACACTTATTCACATCTTCATTTTCTTTAGGAACATCTGATAAATTACTATTTAAAAATTCTAAAAGTATTTCAATTTGTTTGTTTCCTTCACTGTTTCGAAACAGGCTATCTCTAAAAGCATGAGTACAGCCAGCTTGACCACCAAGAGCCTTCTTGAAGGTATAATCTTCAAGTCTGTCTCTTGTACTTTTTTTTGTATGTGTGTGTGCTTCGGATATTTTTCTTCTTGATTTTATTTGGACAGGCAGTCGTGGTTTTGATAGCTTCCTGCTCTTCTCCAGATGTTGATTAAGTAACTTGAGTAGAGCTCATTTCTACCTCTTTCAACGAAGGATTCATTTCCTCTTCTTCGATTCATTTTTCTCCGAGTTTCCTTGTTTGGGAAAAAAGGGTCTACCTTAGAGGTTTCGCCTGCAAAAACAGAATTTCTAGTTGTATTGTCATTTTCAGCTATATATAAACTAGAAAAGAAAGTACAGGATAAAAGGTCCACCCAGTATTGCCAGTTGGTGGGTAAGGCAAAATATTCTAGAAGTTTCCAGGCATTCCTACAGGCTCAGTTAAGACACTACAACCACACTGTCATTCACCCTACGCACAGGTTGTATAACACCAGGGTTACAGAAGGGGGTTCACGGCTTCTTATTTATTATTCAAAGCTATCCTGTCAAATAATATAGGACATCCAGCTATTACCCACCTGCCAACACACCCGATAGCCACTCAAGCCCCAGGTACATTGATTATTAATATATACTCTTGAACAAACAAAGTTTTTGAATATATCATTAGAAAACATGAGTTATCTTGTGATCCATCTGTAACAAATGGCATGTGAAACATGAGTAAACTCGTGACCCATCTGCAGGATGCCAATACAAAGAGCAGGTTCCCTGCTGTAAAAGTTTTATTCACCATTTTCAAATAAAAATGCAAATGAATAATCTATCATTCATCAGTAAATATACAATGAAACCTCTCATGGTAATTGCTGTCTTTGGAAGTCACCAGTATTTCTCACAAAATAAACAAACTCTACGTACCAATCATCATTTCTCTAAACCAATAATTACCTCTACAGCAAAATCAAAACCATTCAGAATCATGGGTAGTTGCCTTAAGGAGGTTTCATTGCATTTGTACACTATTGCATTAACATTTGCATTTTTAATCTCTATTTACATTAACATTTATATATGTATTTTCTTATATGAAAATAATAACTCATCAGAGATTTTTAAAACAAAAAATTTATTATAATTCTGAAGCGTAAGGAAAGTAAGACAAGCATTTTGCTCATGAGATTCATTAATAAAAAATAAGCACATACAAAAATATATTTACATAAACAATTTCTTACATTTTCATATGAAAGACTATTAAATGAATTCCTATTTATAGAAATACAGTTTAACAAGGAATAATAAACTCTTGAAAAGCATTCCTTTAATTTGCATGAACAATTAATATTGTAATGTGAAAGTCAGATTTCAGCAAACTGCATTTGCAAACATCAGAGTAAGATGATACAGGGAAACAGTTTGTGTACTCTTTACCTTTATAAAAGGAAAATAAACCACAGCGTATTAAATGCAGCATATAATGTTAACGCAGCTTTAGTAAAAATGCTGTTAATGAACACACGGTTAAAAACGTTCTGCACAAATATTTTCAGCCTTAATCGTAAAAGACCAAATAAGATTACCAATATGTAAAAAAATGCATCATATAAAAACAATTTTCGATTAAAATCCCCTTAAGATAATGCAAGGATAACTTCTACATTGGGTGTTTTCCCAAGACAGTACCATACTAAGGGCACCAGGAATGTTAAAGAATTTGATCCTGTTTGATAAATGTTGTAATGTTGTCAAACAGGGTCGTAGTTATTTGATGAAGATTCGGATTCTTCTTAGGTTTAAAGAAGACCATTTACACACCAGTGTGTGCAGACTTACATAGGAAGTCATCTATGACAATTTATTGCTATCTGGGTCAACCATAACAGCATAGTTTCACAATCAAGAAACTGATACCACGCACTTAGCAGATAGTAGCCATCATAAATGAACAAAAACTGCCACATCTTGTTTTACAGTTATACCAAAAAGTGACTAACAAAAATCAACTACAATATGGCTCTTCCCTCATCTTACAGCTCAGACGTTAGCCCAACAAACTGTCACTCTTTCTAGATTGGGATAATTCATTTGGCTGGTAAATTTTTCAACAATCAAAACTTTACAGAAGTTGAAGCACTTTTGATGTTTTTCTCATTTAGACCCAGAGCTTTCTTTCATAAAGGAATCTTGGAATTTTCTACTTATTGACGAAAACATATAGAGGCATATAATAATTTTTTTAAAGAATTTCTGTCCTTCTAGCCTCTTTATTTTACCTTTCAAAATCCAATATTTTACGTTATACAATTTAATAATTTATATATTTATATATATGTTTAGGTTTTTCTTTTCTATGCTAAATGAATAATGAAATATCTTAAAATCAATAATATAAACAATGATATAAAAAACGCTTAAGAGGCTCTATGGCTCAGAAAACTCATATCAGAAAAACATAAAAAAGGCACTTTATTGGTAAGGCACATCACATATAAAATATACCTGAGGTACATTAAAATAAAAAGCTATAAATAAAAATAAAAAACCTTTATGAACATAATTGCAATTCATTTCATGCATATTTACATCATGAAAAATTAAGTACATTACCATGATATACGTAATAATTAAAATAGTCATATTTTTATCACAAATCTGTATGAAAAATTATGTATATTACTATGACATAACTCATAATTAAAATATTCATATTTTTATCACAAATATATATCTGACAGAATCTTTTTTTTTTTCCTTGCATGAAAATATAAAATAGCATTTGCACTTAAAGAAAGACTTTTCTTGCTTCATTAGATAAACTACTCTAGATTAATATACTGATAATTCAATTTCACCAAATACAAGACTTTTAAAATATTTCACTCACCGGTCTCATAATGAAACTTGCAAAATGTTTTTAGATAAAATGTATGTATTTATTAGTATGTAAAATATTTCATTAAATAATATTTATACCAAAAAAACTAGTTTCTCAATGAAATTTACTCTTTAATCTTATGATGAAATTGGTTCAGTTTTTTCAGGCACAAATTATGGAAAAATATTTCAACATCATTAAAAAAATTGTAAATCATACAGGCTGTTCAAAAAAGGTGACTATGGGCTTTATTTCCTCAAATCCTGACACCAGACATATACTTGCAAGTATAAAGTTTCATATAATATTTAGTATGTGTTTATTAAAAAATCTCATAAACTTTATTTGTAATTTTCATAAAAAAAGTGCCAAAGCTACAAATATAATGATTCATGCTTTTACAGCCAAATGAAATCATTAATCCCTTAATGCACCAATAAAAATTCAGAAAGTAATCTTTCTTCCACCAGTTTTCTTCCCTTCTTTATATTAACTTAATCTCTCTCTCTTTTTTTTTTTTTTTTTTTTTTTTAAATTTTAAATCAGAACTATAGCAGATAAATTCTAATGTGCCAATATAGTGTTTAGTGACATTGACACCTGTATCGATGGGCCTAGTTTCGAATTCTGGAGAAGGCATGAATGCTTGTAAGTGTATAGTGTATGCGCGGCAAGCGGGCACTCAAAATACATTGCATTCAAAAAGTACTTTTGTGAAGTTGAATGGTAGGGTAAAAGTGGGGGGCTTTTTGACCAACCCCCAAGATGTTCTCCCTCAAAACTGAGGCAGAACTGTGCAGTTAGCACAGCAAGACTATATCTGTATGATCTGACTTTAAAATAAAAGCTATTGCATTTCAAGTAATATATTTCATTTACCTTCCAACAGCTATGATGCCTTCTGGCTGCTAGCTGCTTTAATAGTTAAATCCAAGCCTTGAAATTGAATATCAAAGCATGTTACAACTAATAAGCACTTATTAGTAAAAAAGAATAAAACTCATTGCATGAAAAATTGTTTTGATTGACATATACATTGTTTATTGTAAAGAGGAAATTACATGATGAATTTTAAAGCATAATACTGATTTTAATCAAGTCTAAACAAAACAGAACAATCAGCTTACAATGACAATTATTATTATTATTTTTTTTTTACTAAGAAAGAGTATCTTTTCAGCAGCTGCAATAAAATAAAGTGCGTCATTTCATTTCAACTGTTTAAAGCTCATTCAAATACCAGTCTGTGATATAATGTAATTTATTTTTCCCCTGTATACAGAGTGTATAATAATTCTCATTAGCATTAACAGCATTTAATATGTTATTTGCTACTCTTTACAAAAATCTTCACTTCCTACCACACTTCAGACATGATATAATAGGTTGATACGAGATCCACAGTTTCTGTCAAGATTTCCCAAGGATCCCTGGTCAAAATTGGGATAACCTCCATACACTTTGTCTAAATCAAATTATAAAATTCAAAAGAAACTTGTTTTTAATATTTTTAGTGGAATCTAAATTCTTCAGTTCTTCCATTACATCAAGTCATATAATATGTTGTGCTATCAGGCTATTTATTATTCATGTAACCTAGCAATTATTGCTACCTGCATGAAACAGAAAAACTTTCATTCATGTGCTGGGTAAATGGACAGTGTACAAAATTTGTAAATTTGTAAAAAATTGAGTGTCATATGATTTTAAAAATACATCTCGAACTATTCATAATCTAACTAAAGTTAAATTAAAATCTATCTAGTTCATCATTTTGCACCATTTTCAGAACTACTTTAATCGATGAAAGCTATTCTTAATGCCATATATTACATACATAATACAGAACTATTTTGTTTTCTAGTAATCCAAAGAGAAGCTTTGTGTCAATTTGAGATTCTTAATCTGCATTAAAAGGTTTATTGTCACTGAAATGCTGTCTCTTTTTTCCCTCGAGCGCATTTACATTAGTTTTATGTTACACTTGAATTTGAAAAATCAACCTGTAGATCTCTAAAAATCGTTTTGTCACAATGCAATAATTTATTAACTCAAAATACTTGTATATAGAGAGAAAGAGAGATTGCAGATTTAGACATGTTTTAAAAATTTTGCATTATAATTTAAGAAACTATATAATTGGATCTATGTGTTTAGAACTAATACTTGCAGGAAAAAAGCCCATAAGCACATCTTTTGATTATCCTATATAATTTTACATTTATTATAAACAAGAAACAAGCTAAAAATATGGCTTCATCATATCATTCAAATAATATATCACAGAATTTGGGTTTATATTGAATGTGGTTAATATTCATTTCTTTTCTTATACAGCATTTCAGTTTCATATATAATATTTATTTCTTTTCTTATATAGCATTTCAGTTTCCTATATTTATGGCATTCACATAATTTGACATTTTACATATTAATGGCATCCACATGATTTGACAACCATATTTTTATACTTCTTCAAAATAACATTAGAACTGTCATCAAAATATAACACTGTAATTGCAGAAAGTTGGGTTGGTGCACAGCATGGTTTTGGAACCTTTGATGGATCCATGAGATGGACTAAAGTCTGTACTATGGCATGATTTGTGGCATTCATATGGGCATTCAATGGAAATTGGCAGTGACCATGACAATAGAAAGCACCATATCCATCAGGTGCTATAATCCAATCCTAGAATATTATAAAATTTATAAAAATAATCAATGCATTCTTTTAACCCTCCTTTGTGCCATCTTAAATAAGATGCAAAACTGATGCAAAAATTTAATATTTTTTGAAATATTTAGATAAAATATATTTTTTATTCATAGGTACATAATTAATTCCAAGTTACTGACAAAAAAAAAATTGAATAAACGATGCAGTCAATGAACAATAGCATAATACTCTATGCAAGATTCAAAATTGTGGTCTCAAAATTAATTTTGTTCAACTACTCTTAATACATTAAGAATTACTTTTCACAGCTCAAAAACAGTTTAAATATGTGCATTCTATTTATCAAAAACAACAGACATATTTCATGATCAGTTTCCCTTTGTTTTAACTAAAAATTTTCATTTTTCTGTAACCATAAATTTCTAGATTTTAAGCAGATAATTTCATAACAATTATGCACAGAAATGAGCTTTTTGTAAATAATGAGTCAACAAAGAGCTTATTGTATTGAAAAATTAATCAGTAATATAACATCTTTCATTATTTACTATTTATAATCCAATATTTTATTAATTCAACTAAGACAGTCTGCTGGTTTTTCAAAATTCCATTTATTGCTGAACAAAGCTTTTACCAATATAAAGTTAAAAAAATATCCAGTTAAAAAAAAAGTGCATATTATTTAACTGCATTATTCAGTGCTAAAATTGTTCTGGAAAGTAAAAAATAAATTCAAACGAGAAAATTTCAGCTTAGAAGAAAAAAATGCTCTTAATACAAAGATTTATTTTACTATTGGAAGACATACTCATAGACACAATACCTTATTACTTACTGTGACTAAAAGAGAAATAACTGTATAAAGTCAAATGCAATCAAAATCTTAATTAGATGGAGCAATAATGAATTTAGTTTGAGGATTTTGAACTGTTTTATAAGAAACTTAATCACATTTGCAGTTCTGGTAAAAGATGTACTGTTATTATAATTTTATTTACATAAATACTGTAACATTTCAAATTTAAGCCGCAGAATGATTTTATTTAAAATTGGAAAAAATAATGAAAAATATTTGCATTTGAATTTAAGCTCAGTAGAATATTCAAAAAGTGAATAAAATTAATTTAACAGATATTGACTTATAAGAAATATTTTTATTTACTTAAGCACACATTAATATAAAATAATTTGTTGAGAATTTCCTTCACATATCCTATTGCTTGGACATCTTCATTATTCAGCCAAAGCATATTTTTTGAGTGATATATAAATCACTAATAATGAAACATTTAAAAAATGATCCAATCATTAGGTAGTGGATGATTAGTAGACAAAATATTTGCTTTGAATTCAGGCTGTGCCCTAATTTTATGTTTCAAAATTTTGAATAGAAATGTCATGTATCTGGCTGCGGTGAGCCAATCAGCCGCCTGCCAGAGTCCAGCAAGTGAGAGAAACAGTAGTTGCATGTTAGCCTCAGAGGAGGAACGTGGTAGATTTCGCTATGTTGTAGGAGCGAGGTACTGCTACCAGTTTACTATTATTCTTTGAATGTTAATTTTTAATAAATGTTTGTTTCGTTTTTTTTTAATGGTGCCTTATTCATCCGTGAAGCCATTACGCTCTCTTTCGAGAACCAGAGTGAACGAAGGTGGCTGGATTTTGAGAAAAGGTGAGAAATTTTTGTTGTAATTTTAAGGAAAATTTCTTATAAATATGTTTAAAGGAGTAGTTAAAAGTGATTTGATTTCGGTGTTGAAGGAACTCGGTGAAGAAGCCAATTCTAGTTTAAAAGTTGTAGAATTTAAAGATAAGCTTTTAAGTTCTAAAGAATATTTGAAAGATAAAGATTTTGTTATTGAATTCCTTAATACTACGGCTGAAGAAAGAAAAGTCAGAAGAAATTGCGAAACTGCATTTGATACAAATCAAAAGTAGCAACAAATCTAGTAACAACATAGAAAATACACTTTCATAAGACAAGCTTTTGAAAGCTGTACAGGCATTATCGATTTCTGTACCTAAAAAAAAGTGAAGCATGGAACTTTGCGGTTGTTACAAATGTAAATCCTAAACATTTACAAAAACGTGAGTGTTCCGACGGAAAACTTAATTTTTATTCCTTGGAAAAGATTGCTATTTACATTGCAGGGAAGCAAGTAGAAGTTATAAAAGATTCAGGTACGGAAATACCAATTTTGAACACTACATTAATTCCTGATTTAAAAATAGAAAGTAAGGGTAAAATCATTTTAAGTTCTGCATTTGGCGACGTCATAAAGGCAAAGTTAGCAACTACTCCCATTTATTACAAAAAAATAAATAGTTGTCTATATTCGCGCGTAAAACCTCTTTTCGCGTTGACAGATAAGCTCAATGTTTAATTACACCATATGTATGGGATCGCATATTTGAAGACAAGAATGAATCAACAGTCTTCCCGAGACAAAACCGGAAACTCATAAACAAAAACAACTTGAGGTTGGCGCCGTTGAACTGTCAAACATAAATCTTTTTTTTTTTAGCTCAGTTGCAAATCAAGATGATGAAAGACTAAACAGTTATTCGGAATAAAAGAAATTTAAGGTCGATCAGAGAAACTGTCAAACATTAATAAACTCTTTTAAGGACACAGAATTAGGGAAGAATAATTTCTTTTTACAGGACGAATTATTCTTTCATAAAGAAAAAAATTGTGGGGAAAACATACAACAGTTAGTTTTGCCCGAGAATTATCGAAATAAAGTCCTTCAATTAGCTCATGATTCCATATTCGGAAATCATTTAGGTATGAGGAAACTAAAGAAAGAATTAAGCTTTCATTTTATTGGCCAAACATATCCAAAGATGTAGAAAATTACTGCAGAACATGCGAAAGATGTCAATTAAAAAAGTCCGTAAAGACAATCGGATAAAATTCCAATTACTCCTATTGTTCGCGCGCGCCATATCCCTTTCATACAGAAAATATAAGATATTATAAGTGAAATTTCACCTGCCTTCAGGAAGAAAACATAAATATTGTTTGTGTTTGATAGATAATCATTCAAAATGGCCGGAAAGTCATACCTTTAAAAAGTATTTCCTGCAAAGCTACTTATGATGCTCTTTTAGACATTTTTATGAGAACCGGTTATTCCAGAAATTATTTGTAGTGTTCAAGGCACTAATTTTACCTCACAGTTAACTCAAGAGTTCGAAAAAAGGTCAGGAACTCATCCTAGTTTTTCGACACCTGGTTACCCAGTATCAAACGGCTCAGTGGAAGAATGGAATCAAGTATTTAAACAAATGTTACATCATGTTATTCGCACAGATCCTGTTAATTGGGACAAGCACATACCTTATTTACTTTTTGCGTATCGTGAAGTTCCAAATTGCACTACAGGTGTATCTCCATTTATGCTTATGTACGGTCATGAAGCTAGAGGTCCCTTAGCTGTGTTAAAATCACCATGGTCTGGTGAAATTACCATTACCTATTAATCTAAGTAATTCAGCAGTTGATTGATTATCGACAAGAATTATAGATAAATTTAGAGAAAGCATCTCACCTCGCTTCTTTATCTGCCACGGGAAAAAACAAGAAGCTTACGCATATTATTTTAACCATTCGCAAAAGTTATAAAAGAATTTTAAAATGGTGGATCTAGTATATTTACTTATACCAGACTCTAGCAACAAGCTATATGCTAGGTGGACAGGACCAGGTGAAATTGTCAAAAGAGTAAATCCTCATTCTTATAAAGTTAAATTACCTAATGGGAGTGTGTGGCATGTTCAGGTAAACAAAATAAGAAAATTTTATGTTCGAGCACAAACTGTGAGAGTGATATTTGAAGATGATTCGAGTTTGGGGAAATTTATCCAAGTTCAAATAAAGTGGATTGCGCTGCAACTAGAAGGGACATCGAGGTGGATATTAGTCATTCAGAGGGTAGCAAACAAAAGGAATTACACGAGCTTTTACTCAAGCACATCGCGTTATTTCCTGGTGAGATCCAAATAACCAGCGCTGTTGAACATAATATTCATATTTCTCATTGCCCTGGTGCACAATTAAAAAATGCAGATAGTCTTTCAAGACTAGTTGGTGAATGAAATAGTATGAACTAATATGTTTAAAACTTTGCATTTGTTATTTTTCATTTGTTCGGGAATTGTACGAGAGCTACTTTCCATCTGTTTTGAAAAACAAATTACTGGTTTCTATTTAATGTTGCATTATAATATTGTGTTTTGAAATAGTATTGCATATATATTTTATTACAGAACTCCAGTATTGTATCAAGGTGTCTCTTCATCTGTTGTGAGATGAATGTTTATTGCACTTATTTTAAAGTATGTTATTACATCATATATACATGTTCATATATTTTGAATTAATTTAGTTAAGAAAATATATATATATTGAGATACTAGCAAGTATTAGATATTACGTTTGTAAAAATGTTTATATATGTCATTTAAGTGCTTTATTATTTATTTCAATATGAGAGGATTTAAATATTAATAAGTGTATTAATTATTAAGCATTAGTTTGTGAAATCATTTGCTGGTTCAGTTTTTCAAATTCTGCTTCGCTTTGGCGTAGCACAATCTTATCGGGGGGGGGTGTCATGTATCTGGCTGCGGTGAACCAATCAGCTGCCTGCCAGAGACCAGCAATTGAGAGAAACAATAGTTGCATGTTAGCCTCAGAGGAGGAAGGTAGTAGATTTCGCTATGTTGTAGGAGCGAGATACTGCTCCGAGTTTACTATTATTCTTTGAACGTTAATTTTAATAAATGCTTGTTTCATTTTTTTTCTTTAATGGTGCCTTATTCACCCGTGAAGCCATTACAGTGCAGCTTAAATTCAATGTAATATGGTTATTTATTTTTAATAATTTCTCACTATTTTAATTTGAAACCTCAGTCCTGATCATTACAAAATATTAATCATTTTAATAAACTACATTATCAGAAATTATTTGATTAGGCTTTTGGTTACTTTCCTTGTTGATGCTACAGCCAAAAATTATAATTACACAGTTTTTAGAATTGTTATAAACCTGTAAGAGTTTAGTTAGAAGCACAGAATTTTAATAAATAAAACAGAAACTATTTTGAATAAAACTACTTACACCTTAGCATGTACAATTATTGATGAAAATGTTTTGAGAAAATGGTAGAATGATTTTTTTTATAGTTTTTTTTTAAAATTAAAATGCAACCTATTTAATGTGTGCATGCACACATGTACCCTCCCCCCAAAAAAAATACATCCTAAGAAAACTGTTACTGATGATATTTTATCATTTTTCAATAAATATTAAAATGAAACATGCAGATATTAGTTACAAATTTGTAAGTAGGCATCATAATTTTATTTATATGTAATTTTAACTTGGCTATAGATGTAGTCTACACAAAGGAATTCTGTCTTAAAGGCAAAATGGCCTATTATGATAAGATTGTTTAAACAATTCAAATGTAAACAATGATGAAGAGAGAAAAAAAGCTACTCTTCAAAATGTAACAAATTTGTCATTTCCATAGCTGCTTTCTTAAACAAATTAAAAAGCTGAGCCTTAATATATTTAAATAGTGATAAATTTTCTGAAGTCTTTCCTAAGGCTTACTGAATATTTTCCACAGAAGCTTTATTGTTAGTTAAATATAAGAATATTAAGACTAAAAATGTTGCAGATACTTTTAAAAATATCTAATATATGGCTATAAAAAGGCATGCTAAAATCAAAGAAATACTATATCATAGTAAGTCACCTTAAAATTGAGATGCTTTTTAATATATTCTGCTTTTCCTGAAACATGTGACAGTTATTTAATAATTAGTATTTAAGCAAAAATATTTAACAAATTTAACGTAATGAGTTATCTATAATTGACTAACCTGCCAACCTAAATCTCGAAAACTGACGTACAAAGTCCATCTCTGACAATTTCTTCGTGAATTATATCTTTCTTGACCAGCACCTAAAAACAAAATGAAATTAAGATCAAGATAAAAGTGTTTGCTGTAAACAAAATTTAATATTCTTTAACAAAAAGATTTTAAAATCATTTCATTCAGCATCCTAGAAGAAAGTTTTATTTCAAAAAAGTATCATTATGCAAAGAAATCCCGTTCAATGCTCGATAACCATTTTTGGGTTGAAGCTTTCACCTCGTCATCCAAGTGGTATCGTCACATTGAAAGTTCTCCTTTCATGGGACCAAAAACATGGAAGTTACATGGTGCATGGTTTGGGCTATGAGGAGGGTGATTCCACACTTCCCACCTAAACTTTTTCAGAAGGTCGCATGCTTGTTTTGCTGCATGTGGTCTTGCATTGTTATGCAGAAGCACAATGCCTTTCAACAGTTTACCTGGTCGTAGATTTTTAAGTGATTGTCGCAATCGTTTTATTGTTTCACAATACAAAGGTGCATTAATTGTGGCACCCTTTGGCATGAGTTCTGTATGCACCAAACCTTCTCTGTCAAAAAAACAGCATCAGCATCACCTTTCCTGCACAGATGCAACAGTTTGACACATTTTTGAGTTGAGGAAGTGGCATGTTTCCACTCGAGGGAGTTGCGTTCCTTTCGAGATGAAAAGTGGTAATTCCAAGACTCATCTCCGATCACAATTTTGTCCAGAAACTCATTTCCTTCAATAACACTGCAGAAATTTCAACGCACTTTCAAAATGCTTCCCTTTATGTTCTTCTGTCAGTAGACTAAGAACCCATCGAGCACATTTATGAAATTGAAGCTGATCAGCAATAATTTTAGGCACACTTCCATGAGGAGTATCCACTTCATTAGAGAGTTCATGTATTGTTATGCATCTGTTCGCAAGAATGCATTCATTCCCGTGAGCAGCAATTTCAGAATTTGTGGCAATTGATGGTCCCTCGCATTCAGCATCGTCAATACTGTACGTCCGTTCTCAAACATGTCTCACCACTTCGAGATAGCTTGATGAGACATTGCATTTTCACCATAAACTTCCTACAACTGCCAATAAATTTCACAGCAGTTACATGTTTTCGCCCACAAAAAAACGAATCACTGCACGCATTTCCAATACGCCACCTGTAGCTGTTGAGACATGTTTATGGCTGATTATCAGACGAACTAAAATTGTCTCATGAAAGCCGCTACATCACACGATGCAGCTAAATATCTGAAGTGTTTCCAGACAGGTTCATCAAAATAGCCTTTGATAGAAAATTTTTATGAAGGGGTGCAACTAACTTCCTGACTGACCTACATAATTAAATGCAATCAGGTTTCCTTTTACACATATACTATTTATCTACTTTTTATTGAATCACATTTAGAACACTGCCTGAGTGCTGCATATACAACAATTTTAATGTAGCATCTCTGGAGATAGCATCATTAAATCAATGAATAAACTCGGAAGAAATCTTTTCTTGTTCATGACACTGTAGCTCCTTTTTTGCTAAAATCTGTAGTTCAATAAAACTCATTTAAAATGTCTCTTACAGTACAGTAAACACTCCCAGAATGCAGGGGTTAGATCGTCAATACACTGCAACTACAGAAATATTGCATTCTGCAAAGTTAACTTCCTATGGATAACGTGCTAGGTATGATTCAGATTAAGAAAACATGTATAACTTAAATAAATCTAAATATTCTTGTGATTAAAAGGGGAAAAAATAGAAGAAATGTTATCAAAGGGATTTTTATTACTGCTTAACAAATAAGTGACAGTTTTTTTTTTTTTTTTTTTTAAGATGATGATTTTTGCTTCAGACAATAACTGATGCAACTCTTTAAAAAGTTTAAAAACAAGGAATGCAGAGTTTTTCAATGCATATCATAAAGTATCTTCTTTCTTCACTTGCTCAGTTTCTATGCAAAGACAGGCAATTCCTGTGCCCATTTTTAATAATTTGTTTTAACTTCTTGCAAGTTAAAGGAACTTTATCATTATCATTGCTTTCACTGTTGGCTGGAGTTATAAGATCATCCAATTCTTCCAGGGTTGCCACTCAAACAGGAGAATGAAATTCCCTGACTTTTCCAGGTTTTCCAGGTGCGTTTCAAGAAAATTCCAGTCTATCCGCGTAATGCACATTGGCTACGTTAAGAGGTAAATTATGTTATTACTTGTATTGTGTAGCAAATTCACTTAATTATTCAATAAATCCCAGAGGACATTTATTCTTAATTATACTTGGTATACTTTGTTTGATAATTTTGTTTACTTTTCCACTTAAGAAACTTAATAAAATTTAAGATATACATTGGATAACAAATGTATGTTTTTAATTATTTACTCATGATCATCATCAGTTCAACACGAGGCTAATCCGGTCCTTATAAATCACAACGCAATGCTAAATAGTTAGGTTAGTATTTTAGATTTTAGGTAAATTTAATTTGTGTGAGGATGTTCTTAAAAAGCACCTAACACTTGAAAACACAAATATATTATAATAGTTGTTGTTTCTCCACTGAAGATTGAGATTAGAATCTTCCCAATCTGGAATAAAATAAGGTTTTTTTTTTTTGCAGACATTCGGCAGCTAAACGAAAGAAAGAAATCTATTTTAATAAATTGAGGTATTTTATATTTATTTCGCAGCATACATAAGAAAAAAAATATGTGCCATTAAATTTCGTGATGGTATGTCATCATACTGCTAGAATTAATTTCAAGATTATGCCAGAGAAAATTTCCTGAATTTAGAAATATTATTTACTAATAATTAATAAATTTAGAGGGAAGAAGCATCATTAAATTATACGAATAACATAAAAATAAAGATAATTACTTAAAAAATTGAATTAGAATAATCAACGATATTTTAGCGAATATAGTTATATTACATGGTTAGCCTAGATGACAGATTACTATTTTTTATTTTACTGCAAAATGGCAAGGTATTTATTAAAAAGAAAAGTTTAAAAAGATTTTGCGGTAAAATTCTAGTATACGGTAAGGCTTTGGCACGATTTTGAAAACTGTCGCCAAGACCAAAATGACCCGTTTACTGCGGCATCATCATGTCGCCCAATCCATACATGGAGATTATTTTAACCAAAAACGTCTATGCAAAGAATCTCTAATTCTTTGGTCTATGTAAAGAAAGAAAATTTTCCATACAAGTAAAATGCTATTACGCCGCTAGAATGCAGAGGGAAAATTTGCCAAGGGATTTGGCGACGGAACCTGGTGGCCAGAATTTCCCTCTCCGCGATGTGTACCGGAAATTGAGAAACGTGTTAAGAAGAAACGTTCTTTGACAAAAAGAAAGCTACGAAAATCCATTTTTAAATTATTGCGAAAAATCCAAGAAGAAACGTTTTATCAAAGGACGTTTCTTCTTGGATTTTTTGTAATAATTTTAAAAACGGATTTTCGTAGTTTTCCCCCCCTGAAAATTACTAACCCATGAATTAATTTACTTGCGCCAAAAAATATTTTCTTTTAATTTAGAGTTTAACTACTTGCGCTAAGACTAAACTTCACGGTTGCAGTGCCGTGCGCTACAATATAGCAAGTGGTAAAGTGTCTCATTTACACCGCTCCGCATCTGCGAGTGCAATCCAGAGCTGTAACTCGAGAAATAAACAATCTCGTTGTTAGGCGACATGTGCACCATGTTATTTTCATTTTTGTGATAAATGCTTATCGACGTGGTGTTCACGTCGCTCGCAGTTTGAGACAAAAACATCTCGATGTGCGTGGCACGTCTTTTTAGCGCAAGTGGTTAAAGAAATTTTAAAGGATATTCATTTAATGAACTCTTGATAACGTGACCTTCGAACTTCGACACCGGTTTCCAGCTTTGGCGGCAGATATATCACGCATGCACAGCTGTTTCCCTCTATGATGGAACGGAGCCACGTCTGTTGCAGAGAGGTTTTCCTTCTTTACAATACATATTCTTTGATTCTAATCTCCATGGTACCGTATACTAAGATTAAACCCATTTTGTTTTATACGAGAACAGTACTTTCTTAGTTCATGCACGCACATGCGATTCTCGAGAATACTGGAAACCAAAAGTTGCGGGAAACTTGCTTTGCCTTTATAAAAGGCAATCAAATTGGAGCTGCGAAAATTGGCTCTATGCCAGCAGACACTCACGTGATAGGCAATTCGCCAAAAAAGTTATCTCTTCCGACGTCGGCGCAAAAATCGCTTTTTTTGGCGGGATCATTGTATGAACTTCCCTGACTTTTCCAGATTTTGACAAAAATACTTAAATTCCCTGACTTTTCCCTGAATTTTTTGGTCAATTTTCCCTGACTGAATTCCCTGACTTTTCCCGGTTCTTCCGGTAACGTGGCAACCCTGTTCTTCACTTGTCATTTCGCAGTTCCTTCTTTGACTTCTCTGTCCATAACTGAAAATCTTTTGCCACCAACTGCTGAAGTATCATTCTAGTGAATGAGCAGGACATGTGTTATTTGAGCTCTATGGTGAACGGTGGTATTAACTGAATTTTTTATGATTTCAGTAACAATTTTTATATCATTGTATTCAATAAGAGAAGACGAAGAGATAGATGCAAAATTTATGCTTGTGTCACTATTAATGCAACCATTACAGGCATTTTTCAATGCTGGATAACCTGAGGTAAAAAGAGCGATTCATCTTTCACCCACAATGGTTAAGTGCATCTAACAGTATTATTGATAATAATTATTTCATAGTACATTTGTGCATTACTTCATAAAACATCAAGTGTTTTATAGCAACTGAAAGTGTGAGGAGTGTAGACTCATGTTGTAGCATTATTTCTTGAATGCCTAAATAGTGAAAGTTATTGTATACATAATTCTAGTGCAACTCCACAGCAATCTCCCATTGGATTACCAATGGATTACTTGTGCATTAATCACGTATGTTCATCATTTTTCTCATCACACATACATGCAGTGCTTCAAAATAACTTCAAGTGACCCATATCAACAGAAAGTGTGAAATTTGTAGATTCATATTGTGG